CAAGCTCAAAATCATATTGTTTGGTTCCGCCATTAGTCATATCTTTACAGTAAAATGTGTAAATGTAAAATATTCCTTTTCAAAAAGAAAAAACATATCGCTTTTAATTGTCTGTTTTTAGTAACGATAACTTTAGAAGCATAATAGAAAAAGAAAGTTAATCAGACAACAATAAACTAATGAGAACATAATCAAATAAGGTTTTAGATAGGACCCCTCACCATGACTTTAAGCTTAAGTTTAGTACTGATCATGATACCGATAATCAACTGAATAAAACCTACAACCACCATTTATGAAAGATTTATTTTTTTCTGGATGTATGTTACACATGTCAGACAAATCCTGGTAAATTTGGTGGCGAAGGTTTTTTACTTTTTGTTTATTTAATTTAATTTCAAATCATATATAAGTTGTAAGCAAATATTTTGGTGATATTAATTTTTAGCTTATCAAGTCTCATGTCATTTTCAGAAAGACGATAAAAATCATAAATAAAATAAAAAGAACATTTTACAAATAAATTACATTATTTTTTAATACTTTTTTCAGTTGTTCATTATTTATAACATTTTCTTGCAAGTTCTTACAATTCTTACATAATAAACTCATTTCTAATATATCTCCTTTTCAATAAAAATATTTTGAAATCACGTATTTTTGATTTATTAATTTATTCTGTTTTATAATACTTAACGTATGTTAAAGAACTCTTAGCTTGCACATTAGTTCCCTAATATTTTAAAAGCAGCGTCTCTATCCTCTTCTAACTCTCTTCTACTTGCATCCATCATTTTCTTTATTTCATCCTTAACAGTAAGTCCTTGCACAATAAACCACTTCCCATCTTTAATTTCCACAGGGAAGGAGAATATCAAATCTTTTGGCACACAATATGATCCATCACTCATGACGCCCATCGACACAAACTTTCCACTCTCAGTCCCCTTGAACCAGTTATTCATTTGATCAGCAGCAGCTTTAGCTGTCGACATTGCAGCCGATTCCCCTTTAGCTTCCAAAAGTATATTTGTTCTTTGTTGGATCGTTGGAACAAATTCATTTGTAATCCACGTTTGGTCTTTTATAACATCTTCAACTGGTAGTGAGTTAATTTTAGCTTGGGTTACGTCTGGAACCTGTGTGGACGAATGATTTCCCCAAATGATGACGTTATTAATTTGACTAACAGGCACATTTGCTTTACATGCTATTTGTACTGAGGCCCTGTTCTGGTCCAGCCTGTTTAAAGAAGAGAAATTTTCTTTTGGGATAGAAGGAGCAAATTTTGAACAAATTAGGGCATTGGTATTAACAGGATCTCCCACAACGAGAACTTTCACATCCTTCTTTGCGTTTTTATCTAATGCTTCTCCTTGAGCTTTAAATATGGGTGCATTTTCTGGTAGAAGATCTCTTACATCCATCCCTGGGCTCTGACTCTTAGCACCAACGAGGAAAGCTGCAGTTACATCCTTGCAAGCATCTTCAAGTTCGTCGGTACAAAACACACATTGGACTAATGGGTAGGCACAATCAAGAAACTCCATTACTAAACTTTGAAGTTGTTGTTTCTTGTCGGGTATATCAAAAAGGTGGATCATTAAAGTTTGTTCAGGACCAAATACATCCCCTTTTGCTATCATGGGCAGCAGATTGTTGGATATGCGTCCAGTAGCTCCTGTTAGTAATACTCTTATAGGTTCTGGAGGAGGTGGCTCTGACTAAATGTAAATTTGGGGCTTTTACAATTGCATAGTTCGAAATTTATTAAAACATTACGTACTTATATGAAATAGAAGAAAACATATGAAGTTAAATTTCGTCTTACCGATGTTCCGGAACACTTTTGTTCTTCGGTATGTTTATTAGGTTGTGTGGGCTGTCCGATAAGTTCTTTGGGTTGTATGGGTTTTCCATTGAATTCTCTAGGTTGTATGGGTTTTCCGACGAGATCTTTCAGTTGTACGGGCTTCTTGAGGGGTTCTTTAGGTTGTGTAGACTTTTTGATGGGTTCTCCTTGTTCTTTGGGTTCCAAAGTGATCGGTACATTTTGAGAATTATTTGGTGAAGAGTCATTCTCACACAGTGCACGTCTTTGGTTAACAGATAATCGAACCAAACGATCGATTTCCATTTTATAATTCTGTTCTACGTAAAATAATCAAATGTTAAACGTTAATGACTTCTCGATATCTTATAAAAAAAAAATAAAAATTTTCGCATAGGTGTATCTTGAGAAACTTTTTAACTAACCACATGTTTCCAATTCCTGTATTCTTTTACACATTTGACATTTCTCATCAAGTGCAGTTTCTAATGCACTCTGCAATTGTGATTTTGTATCCTGAAAACACTTCAGTTTAATTAATAGCTGTTCTTTTTCACACCGTAAATCAGCTGCTTCCAATTTAAGATATTCACTTTGCAATGCAATTTCATGTGCTCTTGCTTGCAATCTGGATGAAAGAGAGAGAAAATATGAGCTTTTAGGTACTATTTCCGGTTACCATTTCTTGTCAACTGAATAAAATATTAACTTTTAATAATTAGCCAATGTGGACTAGCTCTTGAATTAGTAAAAATATTTTAGAGGCATACATTAAAAACCAGCAAATTTCATGAATTACGTGATACATATATTAATACTATTGTACTACTGCTGTTAATTCCCAATGGTACCTGTTAATTTTTTCAACACTATTCCTTATCGCATTATTGCATTCTGCTTTAACCAAAAGGGCCATTTCATTAATATCGGCCAACTCTCTTTCAAGTTGTTTGTTTTTCTTTGCTAAGCAAATCGCTTTCTTCTTAGCTGCATGTTGTTGACATATTGTTTCTAAAGTAAATGTTTTTGTAATTTTTTAGCCAAAATCATTAGGCACTATTATGATATATGTACCACAAGATAAGTAAAATAGTTAAAACGTTAACAAACAAATAAGTTAATAAAAGAAAGTAATAAAAGTTCTTTCCACTTTCAGAGCTTATCATTAATAAATCTGTTTGGGACTTAAATGAAATGATAAATAGCGTCTACTTTAAAAATATTTCTACATGGTGCGGTCACTTTCAATTTAAAGTTACATATTTGTTTGTTATTCCTTATGGGGTAGTAAGCTAAGAGCATCATATGTATTATACGATTTAATAAGAAAGAAAAATGCCTTTTATTCAAAATTTCACATACCTACCTTTTAAAAGTTGTTCTATATCTAATTTTTCTTTTTTTAATCTGAAATATTTTTCTTCCAATTTATCCAAACATTTATCTACTTCGTTTATTCTACATACAAGCTAAAAACTTTCATCTCAATGAATCCTCACATTTTATCACAATAAATTAAATAATTATTTGATATAAATAATATACCTGACGTTTCGTAAGGCATTCGGCCATTTCTTTAAAATGAGACACTTACAGTTTTCTTACAAACATATTTTAAAATCGTAAGTATAGATTGACCGACCTCCAGAAAGACTGCCCCCCATCCTTTCCCATTTTTACTACTTAAATAAAATTTCCGAGTTTATTAATATTGTCAACAATTTTGGTTAACATTTCAAAAAAAGGCTACTGAGATTTTAAAAATTCAATCTATTTTATAAGTAACATAAAATAAAGCTTTTATAAAATCCAAATGTTAGAGAATTTATTTTATTTAATCATGAAAATCCATTTACATTTGTATTGAAATCCACTACAGGTAATATAATTGTAAAATTTGTTGAGAAATCATTTGAATTATTCCAAATATTTTCAGACAGCAAAATATTTGTGTTTATTATTCTTTAGGTAAGGAGATGTATTTTGCCGCTTCCTCTTTGTGTTTCATTAATTCGTCAGCCGACTCATTCATCAACTGCTTGTGGCAATCGCTAACAGTTAATTGTTGTGTCACACAATATTTTCCACCACGAGTGACAACAGGATATGAAAAAATTATATTAGGTGGGGCTCCATAACGTCCCTTTTTTCCACTACTCACACCCATAGAGACGAACCTTCCAGGTTCAGTTCCCTTAAATAAATAACGAATGTGATCGGCGACGGCTTTAGCCAATGGAAAAACTGAATTCATTTGTCTATATTTAACCACTTTCTGTTCCCTGTTACAAACACTTGTGATAAAGTCGTTTTCAAGCCATTCTTTTGATACTCTTTCGGCTACAGGAATGTTTTCTTGTGAATTTTTTGGACTTATAACTGCATTGCTAGCATCGGGGACAATGTTGGGCCCTTGATTACCCCAGACGATTACATTGAACACCTCGTTAGGGCGGACTCCAACTTTCCTAGCAATTTGGGCTTGCGCTCTTAAATGGTCGAGCATGGTAACTGCAGTGAAATTCTCTTTGGGGATGGTTTGAGCAAAAGCAGAACAAATGATGGTACTAATGTTAACTGGCCTACAATAAACAATAACTTTCACATTTTTGTCTGCATAATCCCGTAGAGATTCGCCATCTTCCTTTAAAATGGGGGCATTGGCCTGTATTAAATTAGCTAGATCATCGGTACCATCGTTGGGTGCTTCCCCTATTATGGCTATAGTAACTTCTTTGAAAGCTTCTGTTCTATTAGTTGTTACAATTAGATCGACGAGTTGTGGATAAACGCAATCTATCAGCTCCATTTGAAGTCCTTTCAAAGCCTTTTCTGAGCTATCAAACAGATGCAATACAATTGGTTGATCTTCACCGAAAGTTTCTCCGCTACATAATAGAGGAGCAAGAGAATAGCCAACGCTACTTGCAGCTTGTGTTAGCAGAATTTTTAATGGTTTCTATAATCAAAATAAAAGAAATTATANTTTCTCTACTTCGTTTATTCTACATACAAGCTAAAAACTTTCATCTCAATGAATCCTCACATTTTATCACAATAAATTAAATAATTATTTGATATAAATAATATACCTGACGTTTCGTAAGGCATTCGGCCATTTCTTTAAAATGAGACACTTACAGTTTTCTTACAAACATATTTTAAAATCGTAAGTATAGATTGACCGACCTCCAGAAAGACTGCCCCCCATCCTTTCCCATTTTTACTACTTAAATAAAATTTCCGAGTTTATTAATATTGTCAACAATTTTGGTTAACATTTCAAAAAAAGGCTACTGAGATTTTAAAAATTCAATCTATTTTATAAGTAACATAAAATAAAGCTTTTATAAAATCCAAATGTTAGAGAATTTATTTTATTTAATCATGAAAATCCATTTACATTTGTATTGAAATCCACTACAGGTAATATAATTGTAAAATTTGTTGAGAAATCATTTGAATTATTCCAAATATTTTCAGACAGCAAAATATTTGTGTTTATTATTCTTTAGGTAAGGAGATGTATTTTGCCGCTTCCTCTTTGTGTTTCATTAATTCGTCAGCCGACTCATTCATCAACTGCTTGTGGCAATCGCTAACAGTTAATTGTTGTGTCACACAATATTTTCCACCACGAGTGACAACAGGATATGAAAAAATTATATTAGGTGGGGCTCCATAACGTCCCTTTTTTCCACTACTCACACCCATAGAGACGAACCTTCCAGGTTCAGTTCCCTTAAATAAATAACGAATGTGATCGGCGACGGCTTTAGCCAATGGAAAAACTGAATTCATTTGTCTATATTTAACCACTTTCTGTTCCCTGTTACAAACACTTGTGATAAAGTCGTTTTCAAGCCATTCTTTTGATACTCTTTCGGCTACAGGAATGTTTTCTTGTGAATTTTTTGGACTTATAACTGCATTGCTAGCATCGGGGACAATGTTGGACCCTTGATTACCCCAGACGATTACATTGAACACCTCGTTAGGGCGGACTCCAACTTTCCTAGCAATTTGGGCTTGCGCTCTTAAATGGTCGAGCATGGTAACTGCAGTGAAATTCTCTTTGGG